TATACTTTATTTTATAAGAGAGATGGTCATAATATTACTATGCTTATTGTGTATGTGGATTATATGATTGTTACTGGCAGTAATCCCAGTGAGATTGATAAACTCCAAAGCTATTTGACAAAAGAGTTCGAAATGAAGGACTTGGCTACTTAGAAGTATTTCTTGGGCATTGAGGTATCATGGTCCCAGCAAGGACTTATCTCAACGCAAGTACGTCCTTGACCTTCTAGCAAAAACTAGTATGTCGACTTCTGTCCCTGTTGACACACCCATTGAGGTAAACTATGGTCTATCTATTTATCCTGATCAGATTCCCACAAACAAAGAAAGATACTAGAGATTGGTGGAGAAGATGATCTATCTAACCCACACGAGACCTGATTTGTCATATGCACTTAGCGTTGTGAGTTAATTCATGCATAATCCTAGTTAGCAGCATATGAGTACAGTTATTCGAATATTGGAATATCTGAATTCCTCTCCAGGCAAGGACATTATGTATTCAAAGAGGGGCCACTTAGATATTATGGGTTATACGGATTCTGATTTTGCTGGATCGAGATTGGACAAAAAATCTACATCAGGATATGTATCGTTTGTTGGGGGCCATCTTGTGNAATCTACATCAGGATATGTATCGTTCGTTGAGGGCAATCTTGTGACTTGGAGGAGTAAGAAACGAAATGTGGTCTCACTATCCAGTGTTGAGGCGGAATATCGTACATTGTATCATGCAACTACCGAGCTTACATGGCTAAAACTTCTCCTTAGTGAACTTGGCTTTAGTCCGGACAAGCCCATGTTACTCTTCTGTGACAACACTGCTGCCATTAAAATTGCAAACAATCTCGGGCAACATAATAGGACAAAGCATGTTGAACTTGATAGAAACTACGTCAAAAATAATCTCGACTCCAAAATATAGAGGTTCCATACATCAAAAGGCAGAACAACTGGCTGATATAATGAAGAATATCGTTGTTAAGTCAAGTGTGAGTGAAGGTGTAAAACTTTCCTTAATGTGTTCATCGGAAAGAACAGGTGAAGAGCAAATAGCAAAACTTTTAGTTAAATGTGTCATGATAACCTTTGATCTTTTTCTTCTTAATCAA